TGGAATGGAATGGAATGGAAAGGAATAGAATAGAATAGAATAGAATAGAATAGAATAGAATAGAATAGAATAGAATAGAATAGAATAGAATAGAATAGAATAGAATAGAATAGAATAGAATATTTKCAGTTCAWAGGGACCTAATAGAGYAGAATAGAATAAAATATTAAATTTTCAGTTCAAAGGCACCTACAAACACCATCCTGCCCAACTGCCTGACCACTCCAGGACACACCAAGAGTGAAAGCCTGTTATTAAGGACATTATCCAAATGCCTCTTCGATGCCTGTCAGTTCAGCTTGAGCTGTCACCATCACTCTCCACCCTCTTTTTCCCCACTTTCTTCCACCCCATTTCCCAAAAAACACCTTCCCCACAAGGACCAGCAGCCAGGCAGAGCTGAATCAGTGCCCWGGTGGAGGAACCCTGGGCAAAGCCGTGCTCTGCTCCTTGGCAGCATGTGGCTCACACGGCTCCCATCGCTTCTGACAAATGAACATTTGAAGCAGTTGTTCCTTTTATGTGGGCTTGGCTGTCATTAGCACGTACAGCTCRACATAAAACACCTCAGTGCGGGATCTTTTCTTCTCTTCCCTTTTTAGGCAGCAGATGAAAACCCTTTTAATGAAAGGCTTGTTTGGGGGAGGCAGAAAAACACGCGCACTCACACGTCAGCTGAGCGGGGAAAGATGAAAACCTGCTTCAAGGTAATTAAATTATTATGTATCTTTTAAACCTGGTGAATAATAGATTYGTTATCTAGGCTTGCTTTTGGCTTTTGCCATTTTTTCCCTCTCTTTTTCCCCTAAACAAAGCTAAAATCCTYGCAAGGCCTGGAACAAGATAATGTTCATCTTAGGGAAGAAGGCACAAATAAAAGATTTATTCCTTTATCCCATCAACTCAAGCAGGCTATCCCAGCATCCCATCCTTGTACAGGAACACTGACATTGAAACTACTCCCAGGATCAGAGCAGATGTGCATGGAGACAAGATAGGTGATGCAATCAGCGTTAGGTAATTGATATCAGGAGACAGATGTTGTTCCTAAAGATCCTCAGATCAATAGTTTTACCCCTCTGGCCTCAGTTTCCCTCCAGTTCTTGTTGACTGTCCTTTTCTTTAACAGAAGAATGTGGCTGGGCTTTCTTTCTTGGTGATTGTGTCAGGTAAGGGTTGATTTCAGAGTGTGAACCTGCATTGCAATGGTTCGTGCTCAGACCTTGAGCCTGAAYTCCAACTCTGGTCAGCAGCAAATGTCAAAAGCAGAGACAGGATGGCAAAGAAAAAACCCAGAAGTCTACTCCCTTCTCTCTCTGACACTTGTTCTCTCCACTTTTTCCATCAGCTCTTTGAAAAAAAACAACCACAGCAGCAACAACAACCCACTCCAGCATTAAAATGTCCTTTTTCCCCTCCTGTTTTCCCTTCCTGCTCACTAATGATAACATCACCTCCCCTTTCTACAACAAGAAGTCACTCAGTACATTTCAAGTGAGTGGACCAGGCTTTCAAAAACCTGCTGTAAAGGGAAATTACACGCCAAGGTGAAGTATTTCTTCCACAAATCATCCAGGGACATCGTGAACCCTCTGTGATTAAGATCGGTGCCGTAATCGTAAATACTCCTGCTTTATGCCTGTGCTGGAGCTCTTCTCTGGAGCCAACATGGGCTTTCCCAGAGTGGCTGGTGCAGATCTGTGACAGGCAGAACTGATTTACCTGGCAAGGGGCAGGTAAAAAAGTCGTATGTCAGTGTTTGTAGTGAGGGAATAGACATTTTCTGTCCTTTCTCCATCTCTGGGTGCTTTGCCATTCCCATCCTGGGGCTGGCTGATCCCAGCTATCCATGAGGAAATCCAAAGGTTCCCCTTGGAAGGCATGTAACAGCATTTTCTGGACAGTGTGGGTCACAGCCAACACATTTCTGCTGTCCCTCTGGACCAGTCTCAAATTCATCCAACATCCTGCATTTATCAGCAACTCATTCTACAAGGAAATAACAGCAAAACCCCCACGAATCTCTCAGAGAACGTGAATAAAACCTGAATGAAAGGGCTGAGCCTGTGGGAGCCCAGAAGCTTGTGAGATTTCCCAAAGAAAGAATGGATCCAGGAAGACAAAAGGSCACGAATCTTCCCTCAGAGCACTCCAGACTGGCCCAGGGGTGATGGGTGCCAGCCCAGTGAGCCCATTCCCAGCCCAGGCCAGCTGGAGAGTGGGAGCCCTCTTTCCACAGGATGGAAAGATGCTGTACAGGCAAACAGAGACAAAAAAAAAAAAAAAACAAACCACCTGAGGGTGGGTGTAGCAAGAGAAGGTGAAGGCCACGGTGAGGGGGAGGTGAAGGCAGTGCTGACTCCAGAGGGAAGGAGTTTCTGGCACGGGTCCATGCGACAGAGTAACACCAATTTTTGTTTTCCTAGCGAGGAGTGCCATCAGACCACACAATCCTGGAATATGCCCAAGTGAATCTGCTCAGCAAACTCATGGGGAGGCAAATGGGATGGTGCAACCACCCCACGCTTCCCATCAGCACTTCCTCACGATTTACCAGCTTAGCAGGTACTCGCGCCTGGGCGGTGGCAGAGCTTTCCCTCTCCTCATCCTCCATGGCTCTAAATGCTGGTAGAGGAGAGGATTGAAATGAGAAAGGAGATGACAGGTCTGTAAAAACAGAGCCACTCGAGGTGAGGGTGCATTTTGAGCACTGTTGGAGCTGGGAACAGACCTGGGTCCTGCCAGCTTYGTGAGCCACCAGGGAATGGGTGAAGGTCTGGGATGGCAATGAGGAGCCAGGCTTGGCTTCCTCAAGGTACTGAATGGTTTCTGTTGTTCAGAGAACCCATTTAACAAGCAGGCAAGTGTACAGGACAGAAAACGATAGAATTGCAGGTGAAAGTAAAAAATAGGCGGTGGAAGTTTCAGTGAGAGCGGTGAGTCAGCGAGAAGATTGCTTTTCAAGAGAATCGTGGGAGACAGACGTTTTGTTCAAAGTGCC